CAAGATCCGATCTGAAAAAATACATCGGTGACCAGTCAAATTAACAATATAGTCTCCATAACCATCCCACCATAATTGAGAGAGAGATAAAGAGAGAGATAAAGAGAGAGGAAGCAACGAGAGAAAAGTAGAGAAGCGAGAGAAAGAGGGAGAGAATTGAAAAAGAGAAACAGATCTGGTTTGAAGAACCGTAAAATAGAGGTTATATTTAGGGTATAAGGGCAAATTAGGAATAAAAAAACAAAAGGATGTGGGTCATATTCTATTTTGAAATAGGGGTGTATTTAAAAAAAATAGTTTGAGGTTGTAATTTAGTTCTAATTAAGTTTGGTAGGAGGGACCTAAACATATTAACCCCTTATTTTTATTCCCTTCGCCGATTCGTCATATTTTTAACTTTATTTTTCAAAATAATATTCCTATCGTTTCACTTTTATTATATTTGAATTTAATTATATTTATTGTTGTTGAATTTCTAAATTTAAATTAGTTTTTTTTAACTTTTATATTTAATTTGGGCAAATTAACTAAATTCAAAATTTGTTGATAGATTTGTCTTAAAACTGAGAAAATAGAGTTTTGTACTTAGGGTCATGAATTTTGAGTTGTTTTTGTGGATTAAAAACACTCAAAAAATGTTGAAAAATTCGACCTAAGAAATCTTCACGAATTCAGAGAAAACGAACGTCTACCATAGACACTAGTCTGAGTTATGTTCAAAATTTAATAAACCAGTGTTTTGATGATTAATAATACGATATCCAATAAATGTTTGAAAGTAAAAGATGGGGTTGATAATATATTTTAATTTATTAAACAAAATGTTCTAAATTTACTAAAAGGTGGTCTTTGTTTTCAAGTCCCTCGGCAAAAAAGAAAGAAAGAGTAGGATAACATGTAAAGATTTGAAAGAAAGTGGACTGAAGTGAAAATAAAATAAACTAAAAGGGAGCATTTAAAAAATTCAATAACACTTGAGGACTATTACTGCAACATCTCCAGTCACGCGATTCGTCTGCCAACATCATTTATCCGTCATCGCTAGATGCCAAACCGTCACTTGTAAAGAACTCCCAAAACTACGTCGTTCAATACGATCTCAAGATTTCTCAAAAGTCTCATCTGATCACATCAGTTCGAAGCTTCAAACCCTCAATCAATCCCCAAATGGCGATACTCACAGTGAACAACAACTCTAATGCTTATTCTTCCATCATCCGCCTCAACATCGGTAATCCTTTCTCTCTCTCTCTCTCTCTCTCTCTCTCTCTCTCTCTCTCTCTCTCTCTCTCTCTCTCTCTCTCTCTCTCTCTCTCTCTCTCTCTCTCTCTCTCTCTGTACGTATAAAACGTGTATATACACGTTATGCGTGTATACAAGCACCCTTGTGTAGATATTCATATGCGCGTGCATTATCTGTTCGTCAAATTGTTCTGGAAACTGGTAACTATTGATCCTTGCATCGGTGCAAAATTGTCTTTAACGAACTTATGATTACATCTCCACAAATTTTATGAATGATTTACTGAAGCTGTTCAATTTCCTTGTGGACGGTCACAACTAATTCAATGCATGTGGTTGCAGAAAAAATTAGGGGAAAATTAAGATGTTGCAATTGAGCTGAATGCGGATAGTGTACATTATTTTTGTAATGGGTAGATATCTTATAGATCTAAAACTTGTTGGAATTAGGGGAAAATTACGACGTTGTCTTGAACATGATATGTAGCATCGCTCTATCTCTACTCTGAAGAATCGAAACTCGCAATGTTGTGAATTTAACATCCTTATTTTCGATTGACTTGTATTTATCTGCAGTTTCTGTTATACGTGGGTGCTAGCTAGAGTCTAGTTGTATACGGAGAATCCTCATGTTTTTCCTTTGAAGGGGAGCTATCAAGAAATATGAATCGTGTTTTTTTTTTAGTTTGTCAGTGACTATGATATTCTTTCAATGGGTTTCTAAATATTTATCCAACTAGAACTTAACATGATGCCTTATTAAATGGTCACCGAGTAACTAAACTGTTGTGTCTTGCTCTGGCATTACAATTTTATTTTTATTTGTTCCCATCAAAGTATTGATTGGCAGTACTTTCCAGTAAAAGGTTGATTGTTGTGTTACTTTTTTCAAGGTGGCAAAAAGTTTTGCACAACAATCGATACATTGACCCAGCGTGAGCCGGATTCAATGCTTGCAGCAATGTTCAGTGGTCGCCACACAGTCCAAGACTCTGATAAGGTATATGCACTGCTGGACATATATCTCTAGTGTTATTTTGTGGTACATACTTCTCGTTTGTACCGATCTAGATTAGTTGTTCAGTCGAAGAGAGAAAGTCAGAAAATAAAATCTTTATTGAGTTAACTATTAGTCTTAGATATATATAAATTCAACACTGACCTTTTATCGCCTTAGGCCCTTAACTTGCATTTCTCTTCTTACCATTATTAAATTAATGTAGTCAGAGACAGAAAATGAACATATACGGTTGATGTCTGTTCCATGAATAAATTTGATAGATAGTTGCAACCATATACGCACATGTTTCTTGATTAACGTAACCATTTATTGTACAGACGTGTAGAATTATCTAATACTAGTGTCGTGTAGAAATTTATTTTGGTTAATGCGTAGTCATGAAACGAATTAAATTGAGATATTCGATACTGGAAAACAATGCCCGTACTATTTTGATTTGTCATGGCCATAATTTCTGACTCGAGAATTTTCAGGAGATGAACCATCATTGATGTGTGTTTCAACTAGAATTCTTCAAATCTCTGTGGTCTGAAAGGTTTCAATTGATACCATTGCAGGGTTATGTTTTTGTTGATCGGGATGGAAAACATTTTCGGCATATTCTGAATTGGCTGAGGGATGGTGTAGTTCCTACTTTGAAGGACTCCGAATATTCAGAGCTTTTACGAGAGGCTGAATATTTCCAGCTTCTTGTGAGTCATTTATTATTCTCTATTAATGTTTCGCTCTGTCATTATATCTCTGTACTCTTTGTATGGCCTTTAGTTGATTCAATGCCTTACCTTAAAAGCGTCTGTCAAATTCACATATGGGCAAGAAATCAATATCATCATTTTTGTTGTTTTTATGCATGTGCTTATATTTTGGGTATCGAAAGTGATATACTTCGTGATGGATCACATGGGAAGATAGGGATGGAGATCTGGGAGGTCATGACAGGATGGTCCCCTTGATTGTGCCTTTTTTTTGTAATATAATAAGCGTGCCATATAACATTGTGTTACAACACACATACCCCCAAAGGGATTCGAACCTCCGACCTCTCACCAAACACCACTACGGGAAAGACTCTGATACCACTAGGCTAAGCCTTAGTTGGTCTTGATTGTGCCTTTGTTATGATTGATGCCGTGGGTGGATATTTCTCGGGGATCACGGGGAAGGGTGGGGTGTACTTTTAGGGTGTCATGGGAGAATGATCCACTCCGCTATTTCCGTTAGAGATTGGCCATTTGAAATTTTGCACAAGGCTCTTTATGCTGTGTAGTAGGTGGTCACTTACTAATTACTATATATCCTTCCTATTTCAATAGCCAATTTTTTGGTGTACCGATGGTAATATTTTGGTATTGGATGGGGTTCACTTTGAATGAAGGGTTTATCTCTAATAAACATAATCAGGAATTGAATTTTGGCACACTTGGCAAAATTGAATGTCGGGTCTGCCTTGGTGTGTTCTGATAAAATTATGCTGAAATAATGAAGTTCCAAATTATAAGTGTTTAATTCAAATTATAAGTGTTTAATTCATATTTTGTCTTCTTACGCATTTGATCTAAAATATGTTGTGTATTTTACTTGATAAATTGATATGAGCTCCTAAAGTGAATTAGTTTGACCCTGGGAAATGATACTAGTACAGCTCGAAAACATGAGATTACTCATAAATATGTTTGAAGCGGGTACATCTTACAGAGATTGTAATTTCTTCCTTGTTCCTTGGTAAAATAAGACGACATGAAAATGCCATGTACTGTGCTATTCTAGCTAAGTGATTGCTTCATCCATGCAATAATGAGATTCAAAATATTGATCCTCTCTTTTCTCCATCTGAAAACCCTCATGTTTGATCTAGGGATTGATGGATGGAATTAAAGCATCTTTGTTTAAGAGGAAGGATGATGAAGAGATCGGCACTGAAATGACACGCGTTGATATTATTAAGTGCATACAATCTGAGAAGGTCAGATTTCGAGGAGTCAATCTCTCCGGCCTTGATCTGTCTAAACTGGTACTTCATCCATATGTTCTCCTTCCTGTTTCCATTAAAAATGTCTGGGAAAGCTCTTCGCTTTATTGCATTTAGACTTTCATAGATTGCTGGATAGTGTTACAGTTAATAGTTTGTTATTCTGACTGTCAAACAAATTTGACCATTAGTTTGATCACTTTTATGTGCTTTCAACCTTTTTGTTTATAATGACCACTTCTTCGCTTTTTGTGGAACAAAAATGCAGGATCTATCATATGTCGACTTTAGTTTTGCGTGTCTCAAGGGTGTGTTTTTTTCACGTGCCAATCTTCAGTGTGCGAAGTTTAAGGTGAGTTTCAGTTTCCTTTCTCAGGTACCCTTTTGTGTAAATTGTTCTAGCTCTTTCCTGGGAGTATGAGTAGGTTACTTCGGAGACGTAGCGCCTGGTGCTCAAGCTTAGGAGAAAATGAGTTATCTGTGGACTTTCATGAAGCTTGATTATTTATCAGTGAGGAATATTCTTTTTTTTTTTTTTCTTGCAGGATGTGGATGCTGAGGGTTCCATATTTCACAATGCAACTTTGCGAGAGTAAGGATATCTCTTCATGCAGCTTATTTTCCTAATATTAATTCTCCTATAAAAGTTTGGAGATATTTTGGAGCATGGATATAATGGAATCAGAATCTGCATTTCTTACTTGAACTGTCCTCTAATTCTTTCTCTTGCTTCTTCTTTCTCATCTCTAATAAATTTGTTTTGCCTAGGGAAGATGTGAGTTCACTGGAGCTAATCTTCGTGGAGCTCTCTTAGCTGGGGCCAATCTCCAGAGTGCAAATTTGCAAGGTAATCCACATTGTTAGGGTTATCTGTTTGTCAATTGAAAAGTAATAATTTAATAAGAGCTGCACTGTAAGTGCAGTGTAACATTATGATTTTACAACTTTATCATTAAATAATTTTATGTTTTTAACAATTTTCAGACATTTTTTTCTAACTCAATCCTACTATTGTGGTTAATAAAATTTTGGGTAAATTACACCCACACCCCTGAGGTATGCTTAAATAACTTTAAGGTCCTTGTGGTATCGATAATTACACTCACCCCCCTGAAACGTAGTTAGAACTCTAACGGGATAATGCATTGGATACATTATTCCGATAGGGTTCTAATGGACTATTACTTTTAGCTAGTGGTGGAGATACATAGAGTTATGGGGAGTTA